CCTTGTCTGCAGACATCAAACAAGCATTCCTACAAGTAAGAATTCGACCTGAGGATAGAGATTCGCTCAGGTTTCACTGGATTAAGGACAAAGAGACGTTGACAATTGAAGTCCTGCGATTCACTCGCGCGCTCTTTGGTCTTGTGCAATCACCGTTCTTGTTAGGAGCAACAATCCAACAGCATTTGGAAGTTATACGCGAAAAATACCCCTCGGAAGTTGAAGAGATATGGCGAAGCCTCTTTGTTGATGACATTATCTCAGGTGGAGAAACCAGAGACGGTGTACACAAATTGAAAGGAACGGTGAAGGAGATATTTGGACAGGCGAAATTTGACCTACACAAATGGCATTCTAACGTGTCTGAACTGGAGGAGAACGACGAGCAAACACCTACCGTTCAGAGTTATGCTAAAGATCAACTTGGTGTGAAACCAGGTGAAACCAAAGTGCTTGGACTTCCATGGGATAAAGTGGAAGACACAATTTCAATATCCTTTCCCCGGAAAACAGCAGCGATTACCAAAAGGGAGATATTACGCTTCCTTGCCTCAATCTACGACCCTCTGGGACTCGCCTCACCCGTCTCACTCGTAGGGAAGCTTATTTACAGAGAGGTGTGTGATCAAAAGTTGCCGTGGGATAAGGAGATACATCAACAACTGTCGACTCGTTGGCAGAAGTGTCAGAAAAACTTTCCCGAGAAACTAGATTTCCCACGAAGAGCCAATCGAAGCCGTAGATCTACATACGTTCGGAGATTCCAGCAAGGACGGAACATCAGCAACTGTGTACGCTGTGGTACATCAAAAGTCTGGCATCAGCCAAGGATTGATCGCAGCAAAATCCAGATTGGTGAAGAAAGAGTTGACCATCCCGCGACTTGAACTTGTTTCGGCACATATGGCAACTAACTTGGTCGAGAATGCAAGAAATGCGCTTGGTGGATACCCTGTCAGATCAGTCACCGGATGGTTGGACAGTACAGTGGCCCTGGCCCTGTACTAGTCAAGAAGATTAACGCCAAAGAATATATCAATTGGAGACACGTGAGAACGGATGAGAACTCAGCTGACCTGGGAAGCCGAGGATGTACGACAGCGAAGTTACCAGAATCTTGGTTAACAGGACCAGGTTGGCTGTCAAAACCCGATGAATGGCCAGCTGACATACATAACAAGCCTAGCAAAGAGTCTGAAACTGAAGCGAAGCCTACCAAGGAACCGTTGGTAACCGCTGTGTGTGCGACGGATGATCTAGACGAGCTATTAGAGAATCATAGCTTTTGGAAGGCAGTGCGTGTCTTCGCGTGGATTGTCAGATTTATCTGTAATTGCAAGTCTTCTAAGGCTGAACGGACATATGGGCCTTTAACGACAGCTGAAACAGAAGCACGAGTTCAGTTCTGGGTGAAAAGAGCGACCGATGCACACAGTGAAACGGAACAGTTCAAAGAAGATAAGTTGTAGCTGAACCTACAACGAAATTCTGATGACCTTTACGAATGCCGTGGAAGAATTCAAGGAAACTTCCCGATATATCTACCTCCAAATGCGCTCGTTACTACAAAAATCATTCACAACGCCCATGTTCAAAGCCTTCACGGGGGAGTGGGATCAACAATGGCCTACACGAGACAAAAATACTGTGTACCTCGGCTGAGACAGCTAAGCAAGAAAGTCATAAGGAACTGTTATGGCTGCAAGAAGTTCCATACTTCCACAATTCATCACCCTCCTGTCGGACCTTTACCCACAGATCGAACAGTCGGATCAGTGCCATTCGAAGTCCTGGTGGGCCTGTTAAAAAGAGCACTATACAAGAGCATCGGACGTGCCAATTTGCGATGGGGAGAGCTTGAAGAGGTGATCCTGGATGTAGAAATAGCGGTTAACGATTGGCCTTTGGGCTATGTCGAGGACGATGTTCAACTTCCTATCCTGACGCCAAACTCAATGCTGTTTATGCAACCTAACCTACTTCCCGAAGAAGAAACTAGTGATGTCGAAGGCGTAGAGCTGAGGAAAAGAGCGAGGCATTTATCGAAGTGCAAGGACGAGAACGGCACAATCTGAACAACAAGGGGAAAGAAGTAAGCGTTAAAGTAGGAGACGTAGTTTTGATCCAAAACGACGAACGGAATCGTGGAAAGTGGAATGTCGGTATCGTAGTTAAGCTTATAAAAGGAAAGGACGGTGTAGTAAGAGCTGCAAAACTCAGAGCAGGGAAGTCCTATTTGGAACGCGCCATTCACAGAAGAGAAACAAGCAACCTTGAATGTGGAGGTGAGAGAGTTTCGACCGAAAAGACGAGCAGCTGCAGCCGCAGCCGCGGAGGAACGAATCAAAAGCATCGCTGAAGAAGATGAACTTGAACACTAATCGAACAGAACATACATTTGTTTCCTTCGGAATTAAATGGGGGGAGAGTGTGGATAATTTTAGACATTATTGACATTACAGATAGTTATTAAGACTTATTATATAAAGTATTGCGAACAAAAGAGCCCGCGGGCACTAGGATCGGGGGCTCAGAATGAGAGGAAAAAACAAAACAGTGAGGGATTTTTATATAAAAACGAATGTGAGAGTTTGATGAATGTAAGTTTAAAATAAACAGTTTTGTCGAGTAGAAATATACGTTTCCGACAAAGTGACTAAATTTTACATGCAATGAAAATTACATGATGCAATGGAAATTTACCGATATTTCGATACCCGATATTCAAGGGCTGACACGTACTGAAATACCAAGAATATATACCGATATTCTATTTCACTTTGAATTCACTTGTGAGTTGTAAGTTACAATAAATTGAACTCAGAAATATAAGTTAAGAGTGGCCAAATATTTATTAACACTTACTAGCTGTACCACTACTGTACCATATACATTATGCACCTATCAATGTGTGACGTATGCTTGTGTTTTGTTGAAATTATCGTTAGGGTTCGCTGTGGCATAATCAATATAATATATGCAAAATGGCGCGAAAAGAAACGTTTTTCTGTACGTTGAGATGTAATATGTCTTGTGTAATATGTTCAAATTTGTCCTGAGTTTATATTAAATATTACGATAATACAGTCCA